TGTTAATGTGAGTGTCTTTGTCTCTGTCACTGTTATTGTATCTGTGACTGTCACTGTCTCTGTCATTGTCATCGTCAATGTGACTGTCGCCCTCTCTGTCTCTTTCAGTGTCAGTGTCATTGTCATCGTCACTGTCAAACAATTGTTTAAATAAAAAGCGAAAACTTAATTAACGCTTACTGTTCAATTAAAAAACGCTGACGTCAAATAAGTTAGTCTTAGCAACACACCCACTTTTAACCATCGCACAACAAGGAAAACTAAAAGTGCGTGAGATATTATCAAAGCAATTGCAAATGAAGGAAAACTAAAATAATGCGAGATACTAACGTAACAATCGCACAAAAGGAAAGACTAAGAAACATCGTAATACTAACTTAACAATCTGGCAACATGGAAAAAATAGAAGAGGGTGATATACTGACTTGGACACCAGGCAAAACCTAAAGTTCGTGATACACCAGAGTAACAATCAGTCAACAAGGAAAACTGAAAATGCATAAGATACTAACATAACAATCAGACAACGAGAAAATTTTTAGTGCACGAAACACTAAGGTAACAATCGGACACCAAGGAAAACTAAAAGGAATAAAAACAAGTACACGAGAAGATACTAATAAAGACGACTAAATGTGCAAAAGAATACAACATTCAATCTGGCAACAAAGGAAGACTAAAAGTGTAGTAGATATTTACTTAATAATCGGACAACCAGGAAAACTAAAAAAGCGAGAGATATTAACAAAACAATCGGAAAACTAAAAGTGCACGAGACACTAACGTAACTATAAAAAAAAAAACAATAGGGAAACAATTAGTGAACAAAAAAATCGGACAGAAAGGAAACCTTAAAGTTTTCAAGATACAATCATAAGAAATGGACACTAAGAAAACTAAACGTGCTCGAGTAACTAACAACAATTGGAGAGAATTGATGAATGAATGAATTTAAAATGCATCAGATTTTAACGAAACAACCGGACACCACAGAAAACAAAAAGTGCACGAAATAGAAACGTACTAATCGGACAACATGAAAAGCTAAAAGAGATTTTTAGATGTATAACGTAAAATTAAGGCAACAAGGAAACGTGGGTTGGATACTTAAGTAAGAGTCGGGCGACAAGAAAAACTTAAAGTGTACGAGATAATAAGGTTATTATTGGAAAACGAGGAACACCGAAAGAGCACAGAATCATGACTAACGTAACAATCTGGCAACAAGGACAACTAAGGGTGTGAAAGACCTTAAGGTAACAATCGCACAGCAACGAATACTAAAAAAGTGCAAGATACTGACTGAAAAAGCGGAAAACAATGAGAATTAGGAGTGTGAGAAATATTAACAGAACAATCTGGCAGCAACGAAAGCTAAAAAATTGCTAGATACAAACTTAGTAATTGAACAACAAGGACAACTGACAATCGGAGATCGATGTTAACTGAAATTGCACGATATACTAACTATATATATGACTCATAACTCAGACTTATAATGTGTACTTTACTTTACTAACTAATGATTCACATAGGCATACTCCGAGCAAAAAATTCCGATTGCTTCCGATAGAAGTTAAAACTACGACCTTCCGACTAGCACTTCGGACGCTCTACCCTGAGCTATGAGATCATGAGGGCCTCGTGGCAAGTTTGGCCCTTTACCTAAGCCCAAGGGGACAAATTTCCTACATACTGGGAGATAGGAACTTGGATTTGTGATACTTATGCGTAATGATGATGTAAATGAAGATGATAAATTCAAAGGTTCCTGATTTGAGCAAAGGAGGCTGTTATACAGGGAATGACACTGGCATACGGCGAGGAAAAAAATCTGAGTGCTCTCGAAAGAAGTTGAAGCTACGACCTTTCGGACGCTCTACCATTGAGCTATATGAGACTTGTGGCTAGCTGGGCTGTTTAACTGGGTCCATTTTAGTAAGAAGGAATTGTGATGGTTCATTTTCCTTGATATAGCCAGTTATATCAGTTAACTTTCTACGGTACATTTCAGCCTGAAATCTGATCCTTCCATCTTTCTCTCAGGTTTGGACATGATTTACCGGATCGACTACTTCAGAAAACTTGAGTAAAAAAATGATAATTTTTATGCTTACTAAAACATATGCAATGTTTATTAAGACAACTAGCGTATTTAAACAAACACAGGGTTGTTGATTACAAATAATTTCACAAAGAACTGCAGAAGCTCAAAGGGTAATTTCAATTCGAGGTTCCCAAAAATGAACTCAAAGTACTTAATTTCGCTTAGAGGTCCAACGTTCATCACAACAATTAGCTAATCCATAAAAATCGCTCAAGTGTGGTACCTTAAAGATTGATATTTAACCGCCGCCTGGTTAGCTCAATTGGGAGAGCGCCGGACTGCTGTGCGGGAGGTCGAGAGTTCAATACCGGCCGGACCAACACTCAGGGTCTTAAAATTAATTTCTCAACATCAAGAAATGGTTAGATATTCTAGTCTTCTCGGATAGGGACGAATAAATGGAGGTCCCGTCTCCTGCAGGGTTAGGGGTAGGAGACGTTAATTTCCCACGCACGAGATTACTGTGTGATGGATGTCCTCCCCTGGGGTGGGAGGGGGGGGAAAAGGTGAGGTCGTTACATGGACTAAAGCGGCTGCCAGAGATTATGCTGACGTCCGATCTCAACCTTAGTAAAAATTGTAAGCGCATTGAGATTCTTAAATGCGTATTAAAGAACGTTCATTATTATTATTATTATTATTATTATTATATGTTTCGGCAGGGATTAAATACTACTGCAAATAACAGAACTTACAGTGGAACTGAGACGGGCTCGCAGTTTAAGCGGGAACTCTTGATCAGTGAAAGACCCTCCAATGTTCAGCTCTTAGGAGACGCTGTTACCGATTGGCTTTGGACATGAGTTTGTAAAGCGCTCCGCAAGATAATTACTTCGGCAATAGGAGACGTAACAATAGCATCAAGGTCTGTGGTCGATAGGCTACGATCTACAACGTGGATATCGTATGAGGCACAAGATCTTCTTACGCCTCTCTTCAATAATCTAACAACAAGCCCATAGGATACTTTTCCTAACATCCACAAGTTTTCGAAGGAAACCACCGGTACCAAGACTTCGATCGCTATTCTTCTCCGGAAATTCCCACCAAGACGATGACATACGCATATGATCAGTACCTAAAATACTGACCGATCTCATCCATCAACACCATACGAGAGAAAAAATTGCGACAATGTATTTCCCCCGTCCCTCATATCGATGGAACCAAGGTTGGGCTTTATCCAAACGTTAGATCTTACCATTCTCGTAACCCCTCACAACGAAATGGGAAATAACGGGAGTCAATTTTCGTTTTTTCGTTTAAAAAACGACAGAACGGAAGTTGACTTTGTTTCTTTGCTATTCGTCCTAGAGTATAGGTAATGGAACGTTATATAAAAAATTTCAGCAAATTTTGGAGATTTTGACGTTTTTCTTTTGTTAACATGATAGGTTAAGTAGTTTTCAACTCAGATACCAGTAACATAATGTTTTTTCTCAGACTGTCTTTCTCTCACTACCTTATCACGTTATAAGCCCTTAAAAATTTGTTTTGATGCTCAAGCTTTCGAGTTTTCAACCAATACCTCTGGTGGGCAATTAGGCCGGTAACTAATACAGAATGCGGTCTTTTTCGATAAACGGGAGGTTTTCAGCCAATTAGAGCGCGCGCAGTATCCTATTTTTTTCATCAGTGATGCGTGATATATATTCTCAGCTCTGAGGCTCTCCGATCTCTTCCAAGACACTCAAGTGGCCTCGACATCGAACGACAATCGATGTAGGGTTTCTTCTTTTGTTATTCTTGACAAGTGATCGAATTTTCTGTTGCTTTTCAAATTTTCGGACAGTCTCGGACTCTCTCACAACTCCTTCAAGACCTTTTTCTCCCCAAAACAAACCTCACAACTGAAGGAAGGTTCGTATTTTATTCATTCTATTTGAAGAAAACGACAAAACTTTTAAGTATGTAAAACATGTCTCGTGTGTTCAGTTAATTAAAGTACAAAGCGTCGGAAGTTGAATGAAAGTGTGAGAATTAAAAGGATAACTTAAGATTAAAATGGCGTAATTGTTGATTCAAAGAGGGTTGTTCTCTCTGAATATGAATAACCTCTTGAGTTGAAAACCGGTATGGACGTGATCCAAAACATAGAATCTATCTGCTAAACACAAAGCGCAACAATGTTCAGAATCTTGCAGATGTTTAAAAATGTGGATTTATGAATTTATTCATTTTAAAAATAATTTACAGGCACGAGCGCACCGTGTGGTAAAACCAGTGATCCTCGAACTAGTGCGATATACGAGTTGTGTCGCGTTTCCCAAAATTTACCTTAACTTACATTTTTACAACAACAAAATCATCAGTATATGTCCTCTCATCGGTGATTCAGGGTCTAAGGGTAAATAATGGACATAGCCATTAGACATCACGATATCTTTTAATATCATCTCGTTTACAATGAGCACTAGTAAAATTGACATCATGGATATTTTCTTATTTTCATTGGCAGGTGTTTAAAGAAAAATGAGGGTTTTCTCACGAAATGTTTCACGTATTCGCGGTTGGCTCCCTATTTTCATGTCACTTATTTTCTTGTCAGTAGGCGTTATTAGTTGTGAAATAATTATGACCTCAAGTCCATATAAATAAAAAACACCTGGTTTTATTTCGTTTTTTTTTTCTCTTGGAAACGTTATAATAAGTATCCTGAAATAACTTCGAGGATTTTCATAAATTTTCTTTAACTTTAAAAAAGGACTGAACATTTGAGTTGAATGAAACTCGTGCCACAATTTTTAAAACTAATGTGCACACACTGTTTCCATTTTCTAAACTGCACCAATGAAAAACAAGAAGTGATTCCACCATTTAGAAGATGAGTCAAGTTTCACTTTAATTGACTAGTAAGAAGATGTATCGATGAGGTGACTAATGTTCTCTTTATTCGTGTACACACAGTCATTGCCCCCTAAGATGTACCCACTTGGTGTTCATAAACCAACAATGAGGGCTAGGTTACTTCTCGTCGTTTCCTTCGTAGTCAATTTCAAAATTCATCACAGTTCCAACACTGTTTTCCTGCAAAAATTTATGCAGTTTAATCTAACTTCTCCAGGGGAAGAGACTTTTTCACCAACAGATTCGAGACCAGAAGCAAACTCAAGCGATACCTCCAATGACTCTAACGTTCTTACGTTCGACCTTGGGCACTCTCCCGTTTGTCCAAACGAGATGAACATATTTTGGCAACTGAGGCCACCGTTCACTTCGGAAAGAAATGATAGCAAAGATAAACCGACTGATGGGATTTTCCATCAAGCTTTAGATTTCGCTTTAGGCGAGTGCTGCCAATTTTACAGGGGAAATAAACCTGTAATGCGTTACTTAGAAATGACCGATAATTCGACTTCGCTTCGCAGCCATATTCTCGCAGATGAAACGAGCTTGGTGTTTCCCGTACAAGAAGATTGGTTCATAGGTCGTATGCTCTACATTAATGTGTTGGATTCTCCTGGAGTTGTTTTGATTCGAAGAGAAACTTTTTATTCAACGGAGAGAAGAACTCAGCTGTTGAAAGCAATTTTTGGAACGTGGCCTATCGTAATTTTAAGCCTTTTGTTATCGTCTGTTGCTGGAATCTTCATATGGATGTTGGTAAGTCACGCATTCAGTAAAAATTCAAACAACTTTTGCATTTATAAATGCAACAGCAGTAGACTTCAAGGCCTTAAAAGGCCTGGAAGTATTGCTAATTTTGTAAATAGTTCAACAGATGTATACAGCTTTTATCTTTAACTACATTAAAACCGTAAGTGAAGAGGCAAAGACCTTAGTCACTTCCACGATAATTTGGATTGCTCAAGCCAGTACTGCTGGAATAGATTTATGAATTTCGAGGATCAACACTAAATAAAACATTTGGTGAAAATACAAAGACAGCTGCATCTTTAAATTACTCCGTTTACGTCGTATCTAATAGTGAACATTATCTACAGAACACTCTTGGCCTACTTGTCCTTTTATATGTGAGTATTATTTAGTGTGGATCCCGCTTCTTACCTTTTACCTTTTCTCACCCTCGCAATAATCTGCAAAACCCTCAAGAGCCTAAAGTTAAAAATATTTTCTCTAACTTACGTCTAGAAAATTTAGAGATACTTTTTTTTAATTTCAGATAACTTTTGTTAGCTCTGTGTGTTATAAATTTGCATTAGAATCACAAACCTTTGAATGATCAATTGATCTGGAGGGTATATCTTCATGTGGGGTCGCAACCTGGGTTGAAAAATCGATTTGATTTGATTTAAAGTCGGCTCCAGTTTTTTTTAATCATATCCCAGACTTAGAGCCTAACGTCAAGCAAATATCAAGCTGACCACCTACGTTCTGTTGACACCACCCTTCTTAGGGTGTTCACCTGCACTTGCGGACTAGGAACAGTGTATAGAGGTTACTAAGGAGTAAACACGACCAGACACATTTGGGAAAATGGCGTCAAAATTGAGGCTTTCTGAATTTGGAAAACAAATGGATAAAGTGAAAATCATGCGCTGTAAAGATCCGCTCTACGCTATTTAAACCACACTCTGTTGACTACTAATTGATTTGTTTTCCTTTTGTTTCAAGGAAACTAGAACAAACAAAGAGGAGTTTGGTCGTCCTTTCTACCGTGGAGCTTTTGATGGATTCTGGTGGGCGTTTGTCACCATGTCAACAGTCGGGTTAGTAATTTTATACAGTTTAAAGTACAAGCTTTCTGTTAAATAAATTTGAAAATCCGTTTGGTGTCCAAAAACGACGAAAGGAGATCTTGGTGTACCGTGCGTATGGCTGTACCTACAGTTTTTCGCAACTTCCAATTTTTGAAATCTAATGATTACAGTAAAACAGAATGTAGAATGTGCTCATTGATTGACAGCCTTTCACACAACGCGAAACTGGGATAGTATAGCTTTCTCTGCATACTCAACCCTGTTCCGCTCTGCCCTGTCAGCTTATAGCCAACCACTCACTCGTTTTATCTCATTTCTTCTATGGTGAAATTTTACTGATGGAAAGTAATAGTATCTATGATCACTTCAGGTATCGGTTTAACTCATCTGATCCTGATGTAGTAATTAAAAAAATGTATTTGCCGAAATAGTACTTTAAACATTCAGTTCGCTTGCTCAGAATTATAGCCCTTAATAAGGAAAAAATTAAAATCAGCATTTAATTGTTCTTTTGATGTGTCGCACAATCCAGATATGGTGATAAAACCCCAAAGTCAATAGGTGGCAGGTTGTTTTCTGTGGTATGGATTATAACTGGAATCACTGTATGCTCTGTACTGACTGCCACACTTGCAAGTGCTTTGACGAATGTCACAGTGGAAAGATATGATGTCACCGCAACAAGAACCGTAAGCCGTATCTAACAATTAAGTTTTATGTATCTATTGTAGCACTGTGAAGTATTCCAGGTTGTTTTAATATAATTTGAAAAAACATGAATGATGTTACGGACCAAGTATGCGTACTGACCCTCCATTCTAACATCATATCTATACGCTGATGTATTTATGACCACTGCCTTCGAGACTTTAACAAGATTATAGTAATGTGTGATAAAATTGCAGATTGGCGCACAGAAGGAAAGCTTTGCCTTTAAGCAAGCTGTAAACCTCGGAGCAAACGTTGCAGGTGAGCAAAGGGGCTGCGGCGGAAATGCTATTAAACTCACTTATGTAATCTGACTCTGCAAGGAAGACCAACTAAGAAAATTCAGACCAATATAGATTGGTCGTCATATCCATGATAGACTCGTAACGGCGAAAGGCTTTAAAACACTGTTGGAAAGTTAGAACGTTTGGTTTCGTTTTAAGAAGCATGCTCCTATATAAAAGTTTACATCGACGAAAATAACTTTTATCATGACACTGAAAAACTTATAATTAATGTTAAGAGTAATTTAGGCGTTTCTTCATGCATTTATCATTAAAATAATCGGTTGTCAATTTTCTTTGTTTTTTTCATTAGAATTTGAAAACCTTCAGGAAGCGTTCTTTTCTTTGGAAAACGGATCTGTAGAAGGTATTTTGGAGGAAATGTTCACTGGGATTGAGTTTATGAAACGGAAACCTAATAAAGGATTATCAATTGCTCAAGTGTTTGAAAGACAACACTACTACGGTGCAGGAATAAAAAGGGATGGCTTCAGTGCTAAGGTGTTGGACTGCCTACAAAAAGTCGTCAACTTTGTCTCTGAGGATATCTATTCCAATACAAGCAGACTTCTTAAATCTTTCAAAGTAAGGTCTTCACATGTGAGTTATACCCCCTTTTAGAGGCTTTACGAGCCTGTCCAGGCGGCTAAAAAAAGCCCTACAGATACTCATTTCAAGCTTTGATTTCCTTTAATTAGACAATTAACGCACCATTTAATATTTACAGTGAGTGAGATCAATGTAGCTGCCTTCGGCTTTTAAAAAATGTATTTCTGAAATTGTGTTCATTATAGTTTCACGCTCTAAATCAAAACACTCTCATCCATATTTTGTCTCTGTTTGTCTTTCTAACGCTTGATGATTGTAGCATTTTGACGAGTCTTCTTCTCAGATGAGTGAAACACCTACCGATTCAGCCAACCAAAACTACAGTGGCCTATTTGATCACAGTTCTGTATCATTTAAAGCAACGGTTATCGGAATTTCTGTTACCCTAGTTCTGTTCATGACCTGCTCCTCTGGGTTTGCGGGGATCAAGCATCTACGACGAAAGATATCAAAGGAACCAGTTGACTTAGAAGCTGGAGTAAAATGAGGTAAAGAAAAACCTTAAGCCATTGTTATCATTCCGTAAACACTCCAAATTCTTTAAGTAATGTTATTGTATAGGAGATTTCCCTAAAGGTGTTTTAAACCAAACTTCATTTTTGCCTTATGTGTAATTGAAAGGGTCATTATTTAAAAACTTGCTATTCATGACAGTTTCTCAAGCAGCGTCTCTTAAGTATCTAGAAGTTATGTGGAGACATCCCATTTTAGACATATCCTAATTTTCTCCGTAAGACATTTATGGACGTTTTTGAAGTTGAACTCAACTTTTTTGGAAAGGAAGACATTTCTCCTCATGATAACTTGTTATTACTCTATGGTGGACGTTGAAGCAGCTTTCTGCAAGCTGAGTTTACGTGCAGGTGATGTCTGCATTCAGTGCTCTAAACATGTGTTCAAAATTGATTGATTCAAATAGGCAATAAATATCTATATAATGGAAAGTATATAACATCTATATAATGGAAAGTATATAATATCTATATAATGGAAAGTATATAATATCTATATAATGGAAAGTATATAATACCTATATAAGGTTTTTTTTTCTTATAATGAACTCTCGCACATCTTTAATATGTACAGTATGTGATAGTCATTCAGTTGGTTTAAAATCAACAATATTTGAAACAGAAACTGGATTTATTTTGAAAGAATTTGAAGGAGTGGTATTTCAAAGCCGTATATCTTGGATTACGCTGTGCACATAAGGAAGACCAGATGAAGTAAGTCTCATTTCTCAATCTCATTTCTCTCATAGGTTTCATTTTTATTCAAGGCTATGTACAGGATATTTCTTTACAAGATATGAAAAAAGGTCAAGCTTGCTGTCACGTTTACTAACTTCCAATCCAATCTAATCCATTACCGTGCACATGCTGAGTTAAGATAACTTACCTTCCTCGCGAGCTGTATTAAAACACTGCATTGGCTTTTCTTTACTAAGCACATGATTGGTCTGAAAAGTCTTGTCAGCCTTAGAACCAATCCGATATCCAAGTAAAGAGAGTCGTAATTTGGTCACTCGCGATTGTCCAGCGCTTCGAACTGTTTACTTGTTTTTACTTTAGACTCACTGACGCTATGGATATTTGACTTGTTCTAATCGGCAGTTTTGATTACTTTACCCAGTCTCGGATTTGCCATATTTAATCGAAATCCATGCTATTTCGCCTTTTCCCGCGGTCGCCCTTATTTAATGCACGAGTGCTTGAAACTATGGAGTTTTTAATCTATCGTTGTAATATGTGGATTGAGGATAGTTTAGCTTTATATAACTTAAATTTTTTTTTTTGGAAACTAGTTACACTAACATGACAACCAAATTTCCTGTTTTACTAATCAAAGTGAATCGTTCACATGCATATTTGGACAAGGTAACTTGGCTTTCAATTTGATAGTCAGGAAGGTTAGTCTTGGTCTGGGGTCTTGTGACTGAAAACGAGCAGAAAAAAAATTACCTTTGGTTATAATTTAAGGATAGACTAGATTTGAGATATGACTGAATCTTTGTAGAGGAAGTAGCCATTTTATAAATAATTCATAAAGTTTAAAATTTGTGTACTGCTTTCTGTCTTAATTTAAGAACTGAGTGGTGACAAGACTGAGCACTTCCACAAATATTACTGGATTACATTAAGTAAAAAGATAAACAAGGAGCTTTGGAAGACCTTGAGTCGTTAATAAAAATTAATCAATACAAAATAAATGAAACTGACACTTGTAGTCATTCTGCAAACTCGTACACTAAGCCAACAGTCAACATCGAGAAAAACACGATGAGAAGAATCCGAAAAGTTCTCCCAAACTGGTGCGAGTTACCATCCAGCATCTTCACTATGACGTCAATGTCATCAGCTGTCACTCGACGGTTCGACTCATTCTAAAGAGTAATTAAGAGGTTTCTGTGTCAATATAATAAAGATGACGACAATAAATCAGAAAAAAGCAAGAACAGTCCACTTTTAAAGGGAGCCTTAAAATGATGAATTACGATGGACAGATGAGCCCCAATTATCATAAAAAAAGAAGAATTCAGAAAACAGCAACACAATTTAACCTATGATTGATTTCCTTACGCTTTCCGCTTCCCCTCGGAACTCTTTTATCGATCAATAAACTTTTAAGGTAAAGATGTGCGAGTCAAGTCGATCAATAAAAAGAAATTTTTTTGATGGCATGTAAACAAAGCACAGCAAATTGTAAAACAACGAGTTGTCCGATTCAAGGATAAAAGGTGAAAAACCCTGCAATTTAGGTGCATATGTAAAGTGCCCCATACCTGCTAGAGTATTTTCAGATTGTGTAGCGTGAGGCTGCAAGGGTTATACTACTACTCCCGCTACGTCAAATGAAACCCATCTTTTAAATCTTGTTTGGAAAGAGGAGTTTGGGACGAAAGTATCTTTTTTCATAAACACTTCAAACGGACTCGATTGGAAACGGAAACGAAACGATTGAAAACGGAAATTTTCAAACGGACTCGACTTGGGCTTATAATTTAATTGACTTGAAAGTCGCTCATTTGTGCCCCTTTTTAAGCAAAGATATGCCATTTTTGGGGAAACCCAACTGACCTTCGCAAGTGTCTGCTGATGTGGTCAAAACGCTAACACAGGAACCTGGATTTATCTTTTGCAACTTACATGAAACACTTGGACGTGTCGTAAAATGATCTTTTTAATATCACGTTGTCTGTATTTAAAATGGTCTCTCAAGCACCCCAAGTACTCGTTAAGGGTATGATGCCCGCGTCTGATGACAAAGCCAATTGAGTGTTGACTTCCGAAGAACATCTTCACTACCCTCCGAGAGTCACCAATGTTGTGCATGAAGTATGAGGCAATGTATATGTCCGCCAAATTCCTTCCACTTCTCTCTTTTCCATGAATGCCTTGTACATTTGGTAGAAGTCAGTATAATCTATACAATTGACAGAAGATAATTAGCATCTAGATAAGTAATAGTAATAGGACTGAGTGACGTTCGGGTCTTGGAGTAATCGGGCGAATGATTTGAAATTACCGTCACGATCATTAACGCTGAATTGTACGACACGAAATCCGATTACCAGTTAATTGTGTCGGTAATAAAATGCGAGAATATCAGGAATGAGAAATTCAATAAAAGAGTGCATATGCCTCTTAATGATACATATTTAGCTAAAGTTCAACGTTCAAAGTCTAAATATTGTTCAAATTATCCATGCAGTGTTCTTTCAAGACGTTTTCTTAACTTTATTTACTTCATTTTTGTTTTTGTATTGAGTTTTATTGACTGATGGCTTAAAGTGTTGAATTACTCTTTGTATATAGGTAATCACATGATTTCGAGTGCAATTTGGGATAAGTCATTGCGAATAAATTTTTCAAATGCTTAACAAATTGCCGAGCCCATAGGGCAAGTGCAATTTATAGTCTTTGAAAAATTTGCGCGTGCTGATTTATCCCAAATTACACGAGAAAAATAATGTTATTACTTGTTAACAATAAACAATGGCTCTGTCTTCCTCTTTACTTTTTTACTTTTTTTCGCGTCATGACTCACTGGTTCGCGCGCTTCCCTTTGCTTTTTTGCAAGAGTAGTCAGGCTTCCCCCCCCCCCCCCCTTTAGAATTTGGTTGGAGCTTCTCAACTCTCCGTCACGAATAACCGGGTGTTTTTACTTTCCCTGCTAGGTATGGGCCGACAGAAGTTACCAGTACACAAAACGCAATAAGCTAGTTATCTTCCCCGTCTTTCTTACGAACTGTCGCCTAAAACTCCCTGAAAAAGTTTGTTCAAGGCCACTGATTCATACTTTTCAATGACCAAGACTTTCAGGCTTTTGCCAGTTCTTTGTGCTTTGTGTTTATGTTTTTCTAGTTCTCCCTCAAACTATGAATTAAGACTTTGTTTCTTCTCGTAACCTGTCCACCATTTTGTTTTGTTCGGCTTTCGCGACGTCAACCAATTTTTGAATTTCAACTTTCTGTGCTCCATTTCAACTTTTTGCACTCAATTTCAACTTTCTACACTGTTTGGGATTAATTGACGTGTTCCCAGACAATGGGCATGCTGAAAGCCACACATAAGAGCTGTTGAGAACCACTCATATTCGAGTATCAGTATTTTGTTGCTGAAACAATTAAACATACAAGATCAAGGTTTTTTTGTTGTTGTGGTGGCATCTTTGCCTACATAGGTTTTTATCCAGCTTTTCAGCACGTGATCAAGTTTTTTATCAGCATGAGCAAAGGAAAAATTTCATTGAAATGTTTGTCAAAAAACTGAGAGAAGTCAGAAACTTCCTCAAGAAATTAAAAGAGGAAATTATTGGCAATCATGCCTTGAACATCAGTACGTGATCAACCACCAAGGTGTCAACGGCCCGTTGAGAGTATGACAAAAGCGGCAAATACTCTGTATCACGCATCGTGAGTTACCATTAACATCTGCAGTATGTTTCAGAGCCTCGTCATGGGCGTGACAGTCTGCAAGAACTGCAACCTGTGTCAAAACGACCATGTGTCAGAATGAAAATGAATTTAAACTGCTACATTGTAGCGTAAAGGAGTTTTGAAATTACTCGTAATTAATCGAGGATCTTAATGGAATTGGTTATGAGATCTAGATCTTAGTACTCGCCCAAGACTATCAAGACTTAAACATGGTGATGATGTCAGTAGACCGATCAATTTTCTTTGAATTTTCGTTGGCCACTGTATTGTTTTGACACTTGTAACATCTAATAGCGTTTAAAAAGGTAAAATATTTATCCAAAATATGTAGAATATAATTTTAACTTGCCTGGGTAAAATACATACCTTAAGTCCAAGTGAAGATTCTCTTTGATGGATGATAACGTCAGGACCCTCGTAAAAGTGGCCGTGAAGAACGAGCATAGGACAAGGCCGATTAGAATCCACAGGATACCAAACAAACGAGCCAAATAAGACTTGGGAATCGTGTTACCGTACCTGCCTGGGTGAAACCAAGTGAAATGCATGATAAGGAGTAAAATTAAAATCCGTTTTAAGTGAGCACCTGCTGACGATTATGAATGTGAAACAAAGTGAATCATTCGGAGAAAGCGAATGAATTTGAGGTGATTGATGAAATCAATTGATAAAAACGGTTAGCAAAGAGCTAAGGGATTCTGTCTGTTCTATCATCCAGTATATCGTACCCTACTGCAGACATGTTCACAGTAGACCACCAAATTCCCTCCATTACTCCTTGCACAAAAGAGCACGGGAAATGATTCCCGATAGCGTCCTTTCGAAAAGACAAAAGTTACAAATTCGTGAGTAAAAAGGACCCTAATGTAACTTATATTGGTTAGAAAAGATAAGTACAGCTGGATTAAGTATAAAGTTCAGGGCATTTCCAATTTTGTAAATCATGAATATGGCTAAATAGTTTCTTTCAAGTCTTTTTTGGCCCACTCACAGGACACATGTGTCATGACCAAATTCAGACAGGTGCTCCATAGGCCCCCCCTCCTCCTCGCCCCGTGAATCACTTGTTTTACGTCCCAAGCAGCATGATGATATTTTACATAATTAGCCTCACTTCTCTTCTGATCCTACAATTTGAATAAAATCGAGTAATATGTCAAAAAGTCTCACAAGTAAAGGAAATATTTAATTATTGAAACTCCTATTCAGTTTTCATTGAGGTGATTTTCTCGCATAATTTCTTTTTCCTCATCACGTTTTGCTAATCGTTCTGATCATTAAAAAATGATAAGCCTCACAGGACCTCTGTAATCTTAAGGTGCGATTATTTTTTATCGCAGACGGCCAGTTCGACTATTTAATATAAGCAGTGCGATCAATAGCATTAACTTCTGTGAGATTTCGCAAAACGTAGGTTTTGTTTCTTTTATACTCGTTTGCGATTTGAGTCAGTATGCAAATTGACTTTTTTTCTGTAAATTGATCTTTTTTTTCTGTAAAGTGTTCATCTGTCCTAGCAATATCACTTAATTTCTTTTTCCTCATCACGTTTTGCCAATCGTTCTGATCATTAAAAAAAGACTGGACTAATAACTCTTTTTTGTTTGAAGCAGAAACATCGAAATTTCCAAGAATTTGGATTTCTCTATGGTCTCAAGGCAATAGAAGACTACTTGCTCGATCTCAAGGATATTTAATTTCTATAAATATTCCTCAGTATTTCTTTAAGAATTTCTGTGCCCGAAGGGCGCTTCTAATTTGCATTATTAATTTCTCTCGGACACTGTCACCCATAAACAAATTTGACAGAAGTAAAAGGAATGCAGGTGATGGGAGCGACAATACAGTGAACACAGTAACGTTTAAGTTTTCAGAGGTTAACAGTTTCCCTCAAAACGCTCTACTAATTCGGAGGCAATTCGTAAATATTTCTATGACAATGAACACATTGAATTCACATCTAAGAGTAAACATTCCAAATTATTGATAGCGACAGCGTTAATCGTGGCTTACCCTGAAACAGATTCTGAGAAGCTGGCAATTTTTATGTTTAAAATGACATTTTTTGTTACTAGTCCCTGGTTGTTCACCAGGCAAAATTGCTGACATACAGAAAAAAGCTTTAGTTGTGAAACAAACCTAAGAACTTCTGTCGTCCTCTTTTGATTAAGATGGTCAACCTATCTTTAAACAGTCAGTCTATCTTCAACGTAAAATAGCAGCCATTAAGAAGCTTTAAAAATTAAATAAACTATATTACAAAACATTTTTTAATATGTACCGACCAATGCCCAAGCAAACAGACTCGCTAAGCCTGTCATCAGCAGCACTATCACGACAACAGGCCATGTATCTTGCATAGCACCCACAACTAAGTCCTGTGAATGCCACTTCAGTTGTTCTCTATTCAGGATAAAAGCAAAACCTGGCGACTTCGTGACCT